TTCCCATGAGTCACAGCTCATGTTCATGGAAAGTTGCTAACAGATGGTCTATCCTCGCTACTCACATGCAGTGTATGGACCAACAGATCCAACATCAGCCAGGAGCTTGGTAAGCGTTCAGAATCTCAGAGACGGTCTTAAACAGAATCTATATTTTTAACAAGCTCCCTGGAGACTGTTTTTCTGTTAAAGTTTGAGAAGGCCCTGCCTAGAAGCACACGGGGCCTGTGTGGTGTGGAATTAAGCTTTTATTTTGAGCTCCATCACTGATTTACATTTTGGAAAAGAAAAAAAACACATGTAGTGTTTTTAGAGAAGCTTCATTTTTATTATCCATAAAATAATAATAGTTTTATGTTCCTTGGCCAAGTGCTTGTGGGGTGAGATGAGATAGATGATAAAATGCCTTGTGGGGCAATGGAAATAAAAAGTCTGCAATGTTATGTGGGGAGAGGAGACTAAAGCAGGCACTTGAGAGGAAGGGTAAAAATTGCATTGGAAACACTTCACTCTCAGACAAAATTCATTTATTTTTGCTTCAGGAGATAAGGGAGGTGGAAATAATTAACTTGGCTTCTATTTCTACTGGGAGAGAGACAAGTTGTCTTTCCTGCTAATCCTGTTTTCTTGATCTTTAAAATCTGCTGATAAAAAAATCTAGTACTTTCTACTATGCAATAATAGTTTAGAAAAATATTTGCAAAAAAATGGAAAGGATGTTATAAAAAATAATATTTTATCAGGGGCACGTTCTGTTCCCCTTGCTATGTCTCTTAGACAGAAGCTATTTTTCTCTCAATAAGTTTTCCTACTCTTAAAAAAAAATAGTTTACTGACAAGCTTCTCCATGGTACAAGAGTGGAGGAAGAGGGTTAACCAGACAGGGAAAGTGCTGGTCAGCAACCAGGAAGGACTCTCACCCCTGCTTTGACATCAGGTATACCTGTAGGTGTGGGTCTTATTTTTGTCCGGTGATTGTATCTATTACCTGCTTCCATTACTATTGGACATTCGCTTGTTGGCCCAATAAAGTGTCAAGTCACTGGTACCACTAAAATCAATTTAAAGACCCTGACTAGGCTGTAGATTAGGTTAGATCACAGGTATACCCCCTGACTATTGAGTCATATGTTGTATATCTCTCAGGTTATGACCCACAAAAAAAGCCAGTTAAGGGTATTTTTGACTCCTAACATCACCATTTGTTACTTTATTTTCCTTATGTTTGTGAGTGAATCTGGAATCAGGTTATTAGGGGTCAGACATAGTCTATCAGTCACAAGTTCCTCTAAGAAAGAGAAACCAAAGTAGTAATTTGCCTTTCATTTTTCCCCTCATTTCCCTGACAGCTATAATCTTATCTGAACGATTATTTTGTTTCTAGATGAATTAAAATAGAAAGTGAACATTACATATAAAGTTTAGAGGAATTCTATGTTAACTCTCAGTAACCCAAACAGATTCATTTTACCTGTGTGTTTGAATGTTCACTTATTTCTTGGAGGATCAGGTTACACACACATATCACACACACACACACAAAACACACACAAACATAGACACACATACATTCCTCATGACTATTGCTCCAAAGTTTCTATTGAGGAAAGGATGTGGACAATAAATGCAGTTTCTGATATTTTTAAAATACAGAAAATATGTTTTCATATAAAAACATTAAATAAGGGGAAAAATGAGAACCAAGAACTGTCATGTGAAGGTACAGGATCCCAGTAATGAATGTAACTGTTTTGTAGACCTAGATTGTACCAATAAACTCAATAAAAAGAAAAAAACATTAAATAACAATAAAATTATCCAAAAGAACCCTGTTTGTTTATTATTTAGGGAATATACTCTATGTCACGTTATTCCAAGATTCTGTTTAGCTTTACTAATTTAATATCCAGTAACTCAAATATATGACTATAATAATTTTATTTTGACATAATTGCAAAGTAAATGTGTTAGTGAAAAGTGATTTTGTTTTCTATCACCATCTTGAGTATCATGCATGATCTGCTTAGTGGATACAGAGAAATTTAAAGGTTTCTCATATACTTGTTCATTTTGCTCCTTAAACTTTATATGCCGACATATAAAATTTAATTTTAAAATGGTAGGTATTGAGAGCTTTGTATTTAAGTTTAATTTGAAGTAGAGTTCTACCTGAATAGAGATTTTTAGAAAATGACATGAGATTACTGTGTTCTTATATATTTTAAAATGGAGCTTCTAATCATAATATCCTATGCACAGTAGGAAAACTTTTTATTTAGTTTTCATGAAACTTTCTTATGTTTCTAGATTACTGCAGGACTATTGCCATACTTAAAACTTCTGCTTTAAACATGCATTAGTTAATATGACAATATCATAAAAATGACTATTTATTGCAGCTGCATTGAAATATACTTCATGACACTTTCAGCACCACACAAAGAAAGCCCTACATACTATACCTGTCATTTCTTATCACTGCTTATCTCCTCCCCAGGCCCAGGCAACTATTATCCTACTTTCTGTCTGCATGGATTGTTCTATGATAGAAATTTCAGGTGTATTTTATGTATATGGAATGAATTTCATATTTTGTGGTCTTTTATGACTGGTTTCTTTTGCTTAGCACAGTGGTTTCAAGGTTCATCCACATTGTAGCGCTGTAGATGATTTAGTCTAGCTTTATTTCTCTTACTTACTAAGTAGTATTCCCCTTGTTGCATAGACAGCATTTTATCTGTTCATTCATTTATTGATGGACATTTAGGCCCTTCCTACCTTGTGTCTAATATGAATAATTCTGCTATGAAGATTCATGTACTTGTGTTGTTTATTTCTCTTACTTACTAAGTAGTATTCCCCTTGTTGCATAGACAGCATTTTATCTGTTCATTCATTTATTGATGGACATTTAGGCCCTTCCTACCTTGTGTCTAATATGAATAATTCTGCTATGAAGATTCATGTATACTTGTGTTGTGAACATATGTTTTCATGTCTTTGTAGTATACATCTAGGAGTAGAATTGCAGAACTAAATCTTTATGGTTAGGAACTGTCAAACTTCCACAGTGGTCATTCCATTTTTACATTCCTACTACCAATGTATGGGGGTTTCAGTGTCTCTCTACATCCTTAACTACACTTACTACACTTACCTCTCTCTCTCTCTCTCCCTCCCCCCTTCTCTCTTCCCCCTTTTAATTTCAGCCATCCTGCTGGGTGTTAAACTCTATTTTGTGGTTTTTGATTTGCATTTACCTAGTGACTGTTGATGTGAAACATCTTTTCATGTACTCACTGACTGAAGTCTGCCTTTGATATTTTCATTCAGCCTGAGCCTAAAGCCTTTTGTCTTTAGATGCACTTTTAAATGTTTTATCCCTTTTTTGAAACTGTTTTATTGCAGAACAGTGAGGTTGTGGTGATTAATACTTGAAGTCAGTTACAAAGGTAGTACAATATATTCACTCTCTATTGTATGAGTGTTGTGAACACTTATGGTGACTTTAGGGGTAAGAGGGAATGAATTCTTGCTTAAGAATTTCTGATCTTAAAATAGTAAAGTAAATGAAGTTTGTTTGCTCCTTGAGTTTCATTATACCCTTTTTCTCCTTTTTGGAGAGCACGTTATGTTCAGCTCTTCTTAAGCAATAAGGTTACATTTTTATGGGGTCTCTCTGAAGTTTGCTCTCAGGATAAGAGGTTGAACATATAAACAGTAAGAAGTACATGTTAGAAAATAAAATCTTGTTGTGTATCTTTACCAAGGTTAGTTTCTGGAAATGAAGGAATAAAGGACTGAATTTCATTGTGAGAAAGTAAAGCAACATAAAAAAGTAAAAATTTTCTTTGAATGACCTCAGTATCACTTGAGGTGCTCACAGTTGAAAGTGATTAAAATCTATAGTCAGAGGAGTTTAACAAAGGCAACACATTGGCTCTCTCGTAGGATGAGAGGGCTGTAATAGTCTCATGAATATCCATGTCCCAGAATGGATTGACTTCATTCCCATGATTCTTGGAATGACTGAATTGAGTCTTACAAACTTCCACTGCCTATGAACACATTCAGAGCCCTGTAATCCATTCACATAACCTTTTCATGAATCTCATAATTCAGTCAAGACCACAATGAAGTTTAGACTTCACAAGTTTGGCAGTGCTCAAACTTTGGGCGAGGCCTCAGTTCCAGGCTTGCCTATCTCACTATTGGGTTTTAGCTGATTTGATTTTTTTTTTTTTTGGTACCAGGAACTTGGGTCCTTGCGCTTGCGAGGCAGGCAGTGGATCACTATTGGGTTTTGTAAGCAGATGCTTTATCTAGTTTCAAAGATGAAGAAGAATTTTATGCCGGGATGAATCTATCCCTGAGTTTCATCAATACATGGCTTGGGTCATACTTGGTTTAGATTTTGGAGTTGAAATGCATGAAGACTTTAGGATATGGAATGGGGTGAAGATGATTTACATGCGAGAAGAATGAATCTTGAAGGGCCAGAGGGTGTATTGTTATGAGTTGAATTTTATCCCACCAAAATTTAAATGTTGAAGTCCTAGCCTTTTCCCCATCCTGTGTAAATCAGAATGCGACCTTACTGGAGAACGTTGCAGATGCAATTAACTAAAATGAGGGCATTCTGATGGGCCCTTACTCCAATATGTACTTATACAAAGGGGAAGTTTGTACACAGATATATGCACCTGGGAAAACACAATGTGACAATTGGAGGTATGTTGTGACAAGCCAAGGAAATTCTTGAAACCAGAGGAGAGGCCTAAAGCAGGTGCTCCCTGGTACCCTCAAAGGAAGCATGGGCCTGCAGTCACTACAGTCCACCAACTGAGTGGTTTAGACAACAAAACATTATTGTCTTCACAGTTCTGGAGGTGAGAAGTTTGAGATCAATGTGTGGATAGGACCACACTTTAGGTCTATAGCATCTAATGTTCTCTCAGTGGTTTTAACTGGGTTTGTTGTTATCACTTTCTTTAAAATAGAAGAAATCAAAACACCTGAAGATGAAATGGAGAAGCTTTACAAATCTTTAGAGCAAGCTAGTCTATCTCCGCTGGGGGACAGAAGACCTTCAACCAAAAAGGAGTTAAGAAAGTCCTTTGTTAAGAGGTGTAAGAACCCATCTATAAACGAGAAACTTCACAAAATCCGAACTTTGAATAGCACGTTAAAGGTAAGACAGTTCCAGACTGGATGATCTCTGTTGAGGTGAGGCAAAAAGGGGAGGGGTGCTTCTGCGGAGAGATTCATGCTAGTCGCAGCGTGTTTGTAAGGGTGAAGGAAGGGCAGGAAGCATAAATACAACCTTTATATGATGAGATGATTCTGGACATTCTTAAAGCATTAGCGCACTCACACTTTAGCACTCAAAGCAGTTTTTGACAAAAGACCTTGATTTTACATTTAGTCCAGTATGAAAGTTTGTATTTTAAGCTCCTAGATGGCAAGGACCAAGTGTAATTTTTTTTTTTGTAACCTTTATGCCTAGCACTATACCTGGCTCAGTAAATGTTGACTAGAGAGAACTCACTAGTTGGCGAGAGTGAACAGTAATATGCTTCTGTACCGCATCCTGGAAAAAAATGTCTGGATTTTGGGTACAGCAGAGTCTGTTCACCGTAAGCACCACAGCCGAGGAACACTATGTGAGCCCCAGTGGGAGGTGTACACTTTGTGGTCACAGACCAGCAGATGTTTTCACAATGGGAGCAAGGGACAGTGTACAGGACGAACTGAAGCTATTTTCAGGGCCTCCCATAACTAAACTGATTCTTCATAACACAAGCATCTTGCTTTCACATTTACATTATAACATGAGTAGGAGGAAGTCAGGATACTTTGTAAAAGAGTTCTAAATTAACTGAAGATTTATAGATTCTGAAAAGCCTGTATAAGTCTTGCAATTAATTTTTTTTTGTACATGCCCTTTTGCTTTAAGAATGTAAGTCCTTTTCCAGGAAGAAAAGTCAGCACTCAAAAAGACAAGGCTGCAACGAGATGGCTGAGTGGCTCTTGTTATTCACCTATCCCAATTAGTCATCGGTAGACCCAAAGCACCTAAAAGGCTGTCTAAGTGAGGCTGTAAAAGGAAAGGCAAAGTGTATTTTAATTATACAAAGACCCTTCAGATGTGGAGACATTCCCTTATATTCATGACGAGAAGACATTACCAGCAGTCAACCTATATTGTGTACAGAGTTGATTAATATGTGGAATCATTCAATGTCATGTGTCATAGTATGTAAGGACTTTTCTCTTATTTATCTGTGAGAGTTGATATGAGTGAATAAATTAATTTAGTGAATAGCTATTTCCTGAATCTTACTGTGTACCAGATACTATTCTAGGTCACTGTGACCATTGAATGGAACATCTTGGGTAATGGAAACAGAGAGGAATCATACTTTTAATGCAATGTGCAAAGTACTATGTGGGGTACAAGTCTGGGAGGCTTTGATAGCCCAGAGAAGGGATGTGACTGACTCTACCATCATTAGGGTTAGCATCGGAGAGGTGATGGTGACTGGCTAGTAAGAGATGAAGAATATCGGGAAGAGAAGGGAAAGTCTTCCAAGGAAGTGGAATGTCTACCAGAGGATGATATGCACAGCCCATGTTGGGAGAAATGGGAGGCTTGGGCCATTTGTAGGAGAAAGACTGTGGCCTCAGATTCTGCACAGATCAGCAGACTAAAGGTTTTAGACCTTCATAGGGCCATGCTCTGACTTAAGAATCAAAGAACTAACAGTTGCCTTAGTCACATTTCCTTTATCAGCACACAGTACCTGATATTCACAACTCAAAGGAGGAGAGGCTTATTTGGATCATGACTTAAGGGGATTTAGTCTGTGTTTAGCTGGCTTCAAGACAGAACATGAAGGCAGAAGAGCAAGAAATGCTTAGTTCATAGCTACTGGAAAGCAGAGCAGGGGAACAGTGCCAGAGAGGAAGGGGGCAGCAAAAGCATGCATCCATGACCTACCCAGAAACATCCAGAAGGATGCTTTACCAATCCCCATGGAAGCTCCCAAATCAATCAAGTTCACAAAATTAAACTTAACCACTATACCAGTCCACATGGTTCTCTGTGACTTTTTGCTTTGCGACCACATGGCCATGATGAATGGTTGAATGGCAATGGATTTATTCAGCAACACTTTCTTTTCTCCCAGCAGGCAAGAAATTACTCCCAAATGTAGCAAGTTCAAAGAAGAAGCATTTGGTTATTTCAGGATTTCTGTGGGTCCAGAATCTGGATATGGCTTGCACAGCTTCTTCTAGGTCTTCGCTGAGGCTCTGACCATGATGTCACTGGGGGTGCATGCATTTCTCCACTAGGAGGCGTCTGATTCTAAATTCTCACCTTGGTTGTTGATGGGATTCAGTTTCCTGCAAGTTGCTCATGGGCTGTTGCTTGGAACCTAAGGGCCTCTTCACAGAGCATCTCACAACCTGGAAGCTGGCTTCTCTCAGATCTAGTAAGACGAGGAAAGTTAGTAGCCAAGATGAGTTATAATCCAGGTGCAGTAGTGACAGAACAAGACTTCTCTATTATCGAATTTACTAGAAGCAAGTCATTAGGTCCATCTGTGCTCAGGGCATAGACTACATAGTGTCATGAATCCCAGAAAGCAGGGAACATTAAGGACATCTCAGGGCTGTCTCCCATAGCCAGTCGAATTACTGTCTGCACACTAGTGAGGGGTAGCTCTTTTCATAGGTCCCTAAGGCTTCCCCAAAGTGTAGTGCTTGGGGCTGATGAAATGCAGCCCATGTTATATGGTCTTGTTAACCTCAGGAGAACACAGTGATGTGGACATAGGCCTTGTTGGGGAAAAAAAAGCATTAAAAGCACAGGGCATCAATTTATTCAATGGAGGAAGATAGTTTGGTGCATGGATATTTATTCATGTTGCAAAGCTATAATAAGTTTTAAAGCTCTTTTTAAAATTCAGGGCCATGAGGATGGCTGTTGCCTTTAAGGGGAAGGGGACAATTTGCTTGGTTGGTGGCATAAGTAGAGGTTCTAATGTTGCTTGGAAGTTAGTATTGCTTACAACCAAATAGATGTGCTCATTACACAACAATTCACCAAGGGCAAACCTATTTGTGCACTTTTCTTTATGGCTCTTACATTGCAATACAAACAGTTATTTTAAAAAATACTTCAAAGCTGGATCCTGGACAAGCAAAGGCAGTTTCATACAGAAACAAAGAAACTGTTTAAAAATAATATTTATATTAGCGAAAGTACATCATAAATAAAGAAAAATCTCTGCACTAGGATTGTATCAGAGTTAATGCTCTTTTGGCACATTCTTTTTGGAAGTCAAGCATGTCATGTCATGCGCTACATGTAGAACTGATGGAATTTTTGGCAGTTCAGCATTCACCGACTTTTGGCTAAGCTTGTCTTTATTTTTAAATGCATGTTTAATAGATTGATTAATGGGTCTGAATGAAACTCTTTCTGAGTTACTCTACCTATATTGAAGAAGAGTGAGCATTCTCTTTCCTGTAACTGCTCTGGTGGAACACATTCCCAATGCTTAGGTCTCGTGTTGAGTACGTACTGAATATTTGGAGTAGAAATGGAAAGGACAGCATTCTCTTTTTAGCAGCATTTTGGGAGAACTTGAAAACCTTACATGTTTCCAGAAAGCAAGATGGTTGTTATCAAAGTCATTCAAAGCCTCACACAACATCCCATGCCAGCCAGGAGCAGTGGGGCCAGTGTGTGACGCCTTAACATCTGGGTGCCTGGTCTAAGAAGAAGCTTGGTTTCATTGTTTCAATGAAATGAATAAATAATATCTATCTATCTACCTATCTATCTATCTATCTATCTATCTATCTATCTATCTTTTCCTTTTATCTACAAAGACCTAAGAGAGATTGAACCCAAATAGTAAAGCAATTGAAATTAGAAAAAAAAACAACAAAAACAAAAATAACCACGAGAAGGGTTACCCTCATTCCCTAAATTAGATACCCTTTCTTAAAAACTTTTATCAGATTTAAAAATCAATTTCCCATTTTTAAAATTTTGTTTTTTAGAAATGTCAGGAAGTCACTCTGCCTTTTTTTTTTTTTTTTTTTTTTTTTTGGTACCAGGGTTCAAACTTGGGTCCTTGTGCTTGGGAGGCACTGAGCTAAAACCCCTGCCTCCATTTTTTTTTAATTTTGAAATTTAGTTTTTTTCCCCCACAAAATGTTAAGATTTCCCATTGAAGCAGGTGTCTAAATTTTTTTTAAAACAAAAGAAAACTGTTAAATAACTTTGTATTAACAGCACTGTGGTGATATCAGAGGACAAAAGCTCATTACTTATTTGTCCTTTGGTGAGAAGATATTTTTGAAGCATAGATATTGAGAACTCAGAGAAAAGAAATACAACCCTTTGGTCCTGTCTGATTGTCTACAAAAACCCCCCAGTTACCTACCTCACGTTCTTTCCTCCTCTTCCCGGTCATGGGACCCCTACTACTGGGCGGTCCTCTCTGCTTACCTGCCTGCACTGCTTTTTCTCCTTCCTGAAAAGCAGGCTTCCTATCTCTCTGTCTATCCGTCCGCCTCGCTCTCCATCTGTCTATCTCTGTCATCTGTCACCTATCTATCGTGGTCTATGTATCATCTGTCTAACATCTCTCTAACGAGAGCAAGGTCATCAGCTGCAGGAGGCAGGGAAGGCTTGAGACGAGGAGAGAAGTTTTGAAATTGTTACTTTGGAAGCAGAGAAAGGGGATGTGAAAGCATGAGTCCTGGAGAGCAGTGGAAGTCCACTGCCAGGCAGTGTTCCTGACCTGGAGCGAGACTGGAGAGCCCGGATGTGAAGTGCAGCTGCACACGTGCTGTCCTTAGGGCAGGCAGTGAGTGGGTCAGCGGGCAATAGGCGCTGTGTGTCAGCAGGGTCCTCAGCATCGTCCTCAGTGCTGGGGATACAGGGATGAAGCAAGTGTCTCTTGTCTCTCTTAAGCTTTAGAACAGGTCGCAGAGCAAATGTGACATCTTGGTCCACTCCGTATTCGGAATGACAGTAATGGTCAGAGGGATGGAGGAGACAATTTGAGATCAAATTATCATAGTTTTACTCCACTCCTTGACTACAGAAAACTCTAACAAAAGCCAGGTTTTAACATTTTAAAATTATTTTTTAAAATATGTGACTCACTGGTTACTCAGGAGGCACTGATGCTTAGCAAAATAACAGCAATAGATTTTTAGCTGTATTAGCATTATTGGAATACATATAGTTTAGAGGGAAGGTTGGTTGTGACTTCTGTGACTAAAAAGTTAACTTTTGTATTTTACATATGTTAATTAAATGTAACTTAGTAAGATAAATTAAGACAACTTAATAATTGTGTATTTTTTATATGTGCATAGACATGATATATGGGGTTACCTTATTGTACCTTAGAGAAAGTCTCAAGTCCCAGTTTTACTTAGTAAAGTTTGGATGGTTAATGAAATGCTTCTACATAAAATTATAAGCTTTAAAAGATGTATAGTAATGCTCACACCAAGGCAGAATCATTTCTGTGGTGTGGAATAATGGATGGATTAGGTAAGAACATATAGAACATGATTTGGGCTGTATGTCTAGTTCTTCACTTACTCTTAGGTAAGGGCATTTAACTGCAGTGTGGTTAGCATATGCAATGGGATGATGGGACAACCAGCCAGATCTCATGAGTTTGGTGTAGGGATTGGAATATTAATGTGCAAAACACTTTGGTAAATTTGTGATGAATGTGTATCAGTGAAAGCATTGAAGAATATATTTGTGAAAGCTAAGATACATTAACCTCCCTCTTCTCTCTCTCTCTTCTACTTGGACAGTGTAAAGAACATGATTTGGCCATGATTAACCAGTTGTTGGATGATCCGAAGCTGACAGCCAGGAAATACAGAGAATGGAAAGTCATGAACACCCTGCTGATCCAGGACATCTATCAGCAGCAGCACACCCCACCTGCCCCTGGAGGCAGCCCCCAGGAGCTCAAAGGAACCCCTCCTTCTGTCTGTGCTGACAATTCTATTTGAGAAAGATCAAAAACCTCTCGCTTCTTACATTCTATTGCAAACAGCTGGACAGGATGTAGCCAAGAGCTTACATTTTTCCTTAAAAGGAAAATTGAAGTTCTTTGAGAACCAGCTCCCCCTCTAATGATGCAGCTTGGGTGAAAACACTAAGCAAGTGCAGCAGAACCCCTAGTTCTACCTGTATCTCAATCCTTACAGTGGGAAGGATTGACTTCCTTTGAGGAGCTGTGATTTCATGCTCCTCATGCGAGCTCCAAGTGAGGCAAGGCTCCAGGTGGATATGAGAAATCGATCTTCTGTCCCTTGCTTCCAAGAGAATGAAAACATACCATGGATGCAAGATCTGGTTTTACTAGGGTATAATTATTTCTTTATATCACAGAAACATTCTGTTTTCCAACAGAAGCATGTATATAGTCCACCTGTTGGGCTCAGAATTCTCCTGTGAGTGGAGGAGGCAGCACCTGGAGCAGGTTACTTGTTGATATGGCAGAACAAAAGTTGTTTGCCTCTGGGTGCAGAATGGTGGAGTCTTATTCTCTTGCTCAGAAATCCTTGCTAGCAAGTGGTGTATGGAAGTGTCTGAGGAGGAGACGAGCTCTGCATGCCACTCACGGACAGGACGGCTTGGTATCTTCAACAGTTTACCCTGGTCAGGGGATCTGACTAATATTTCTTTTTCTCACAACACCTAGGAAAAACTAGCTCACTGAAGTTGGAGACCTCTACTTCTTCCTCTTAGCCTTCCTGAACAAAGGCAGGACAGTAATAAGCCCAGTGAGGAAAGCTGTGTTGCTTTTGACCTTGGCTGTAGTGTCTGTACACAGTATGAGTTTATAGCCAATTTTTCTGGGATCCGTCTTGACAAGATGATTCTGGCCTCTGAATTGCTTTAATGTCATTATTTGTGGGGGAAAAAACCAAAAGCAATCGGAACAACAACAAGAGTTAAATAGACATAATTATTTTATTTTTGTATGTCACTTTATGTGCTATGTGAATAGCTATCTATGTTTCTTATTTAACTATATTTATAGAAGTTCAAATTACTGGTGTTTTGAAAGATGATATACTATTATATGTTTTGTTCTGTATATATAGTCTAGAAGCATATACTTATTTTGCTTGATAAAATAAAAATTTATTGGAGCTATGTTGCACTATAATGAGTGAGGAATGCTCAGGAAATCTTGTGAGAAAAATATGGAGCATGTACTGGTAATGCTTTACTGTACGGGATGCCTTTCTCTCTCTCTCTCTCTCTCTCTCTCCCAGTTTCTCTTATAAATCATTCTCATAACGTTAACCTTAGGTTATCCCTTGTATTAGATAAACTTTAAGTTTATGCCATTATGACCATAAACTCTAGACCAAATGAAGCATAAGCAATGTAATATTTTGACTAAAGATTTAATATAAATTTGAGGACTGTTGTTTAAAAAGTACATATTAGAGAAGCAACACAATAGCCTTCACTTGCCAATCAGAATGCAGATTTCTCATCATATTTCAAACCACAACCCCCAAGAACCTGTTTTGGCTTTACCTTCTGCTAGTGAATTGCGCAATTTTGTATCATCAAAGTGTGTCTTGCCATTCAAATGGAAATAACTGCTTGAATAACATCTGTAAACTAGATGGAAATATTGTTGAATATTTCTCCAAGTTTTACTTAGAAGTCATCATAATCTGTAATCAGACAGACAAACAAAAACCTTAGCATTAAAAATTAAAGAAAGAAAAACCCCAAAACAAAAAGAATAGGAAGCAAGTTGTAATTCTGGAAGCTTGCCCTACCACACGTGTAGTTGCTTCTACAGCAGGGGAATCACACAGATAACGAGGTGCTCAGATTAGATGATACCTTGGTTTGAGAAGTCAGTGTTTTAAGTTTGCTCTGGAAATTATCATTGATTCTTTCTGTGATGAGCAGCTGTTTGAATGTTAATGGGTTGGGATTCACAGTGTAGATGGATTGTTAAGGGAAAGGAAATCAGAATGGAGGAAATCAAGCTGTCCACCTCTTTTTTGGTTTGCAGCACTAATCTATAGGCCCCTGTATAGCTTTTCCTGAATTAAGGAGCTTCTCTCTGAGTAGGGCTTGTGGATACATTTTAATGTTTTACTTTGGCTTTTCATCAATACTTGTTGAACTGAAATTTTAATGTAAATTCGTTCATTCAAATTTAAGGGTAAACTCAGCCATGAGATTACTTGTGTAGGCCTTAAAGTTATTTTTAAACTACTGCAAAAAAATTTGACCTAAAAGTTTCTGCTTTGGTAAGCGTCTCCAAATGAAAATTATGTTGAATTGTTTGATGTCGTGCCCTGTGTTTTCAGACCAAACTGCTCACTCATTAGTGTTTTCTCTTTTATAAATAATTGTTTCCACTCGGGGGTAGGGTGTTAGGAAGCACAGGTGGCCTCTGTGAGTTTCCATACACAGCTATGGCCACTAAGAGGTAGGTGTGGGATGCTTTCCATGACACTCAGCGTAGGAGTGACCCTACCAAGTTCTGTGTTGCCCTCAAGTCACTTTTCTGGTCCAAATGGTTTTGAGAAAACTGGATTACTTCCAGTTTATTGCTGAGGACTGGTTGTCTCTGAAATAGACTTCAGCTAGTTCATGGGGTCTAATGGAAGACTCCTGTACCCACTGCTGTTGCCACAGAGCCTGTGGCTGGGGAATAGCCCAGAACTGTGGCCACTCAGAAAGGAAATGGAAACCGATTTAGCTTGCAGACTCACATTAGAGGCTGATAGGACACTCTCACTTGTAGGTAGATTGCAAATACATGCTGAATCCCATATCCATCTTGTGTTTGAAGTGTACATGTTGCTTTTAAGAATTCCTACTTTTTCCACAATAAGCTCAAGTCTCAGAATAGAATCAAAGTCCTAGAAAGAATGCTAAGCCTATAATTACTATGACTGTAGGAGGCCTAAGAGGTTGTGTTTGGAGTCAGTGTGAACTCATGCCTTGCATTTGCACAGTATTTTGTAGTTTGCACATTGGTGCGGTCCATCCCCTCACCCCATCCAATCCCTACTCCTCCTACTGCCCTGTGATCTGAGTGGGATGATTGCAGATCATCAGTACGGTGAAGTGCCTGACCCACAGCCCCAAGTGGTAGAGCTGCAATTTGAGCTTGAACCTCAGGACTTAGCTCCTTCCTGCTTAGCCCGTTCTTGCAAAATTGCTTCTGGAGCAGAGCCAGCTAGGGAGCAAGAGGTATGATTTGGATTCTGCTGTCTGTTGTTGCAATGGGGCTCAGGACAAAGGGGCCGGCCCCTGGTGGCTTTTTGCTAAACCAGTCACCTGTACCCAAAGGGCCTTCTCTGTCGTGAGCAACTCTCTTTCAGAAGGTGCAGCTCCCACCTACTGCTGGGCTATCTGTGACCATTTCTTTCTGTAAGTTAGACTCCTTGTTAATGCTGTGGGGACCTCAGAGGAAAGCGGCTGTCTTTTATGGCTTGGAGAGTGTTGGTTTTGTTTTCTTTCCGGGACATATTATGTCAGAGGCCCCATTTAGTAATTAGGGGTCAGTCCTCTGATTTTCCTCTCAGTTTTTTGTCACATAATTACGATAATTTCCTCAGGGAGACTACAAATTACAATGTCGAAGAGACGAAACATTAAAAGAAAAATATTTTATGAGTCTTTTGAGGAGAGGTGCTATACCAACTCAAGCCATATTGAAATTCGTGGACATGTATCTCTTTGTAAGAAAGACAGTATTTTGATGTAGTCACACAGATGATTTAGTAAGTGACCTAAGCACTTACTGTCCAAATGTCACTTTATATTGAAATCTCCATAGCCAAATGAAATTTAGGAGGTTTTCCCATTTATTTTCCTCCCAAAATTTTTGTATATTTTTCTCGCAAGAGAAATCCAACCTTAGCAATAGGAGGTAACTGACTTCCTATGGTTTTGTCATGTATAGTTACAAATAAAAGCCCCTTAAACTAGACTTTTTTACAACCCCCATGAAATGGGCTGCTTTTGCTAGTGAATGAGATACAGACAGGCATGTGCTTCTCTGCATTGTGAGGGAGAAACAATGTCTTTGCCTCTTAGGTATGTCTCTTTTTCCCCCCATGTGACCACACTACCATATCAGAAATGTTAAAAATGGATTTTACATTTGAAAAAATATGTTTTTACATTTCTCTTCCTGCGAGGAAACTTAATCGCTATGTATTGATATTCCTTTACCTTTAGCCCACAGAGACATTTAACAGCCTATAATGAAAAGAAGGGTTTGACATCACACATTTCAATATTGTTGCATGACGGGGATGTGATTTAATCGTGTGTGGTGTTTTGGGCAACGTGTTAATGTGGAAACGGTGTCTTAAATTCCACTGTGTTTTTATTCTTTGTCATCTACCCTTTTACTATACTAAAAAAAGAGGCATGGTTCTTTTGTCCTGATTTATATTTTTGAAGTTGACTTGTAAAATAAAAATAAAAACAAAAAAATGTATCTAGTAAAATGACATGGAAAAATTTGAGATGCACTATTGGTGTTTATTTTCTGCTCTTCTCCTGCACAGCTGCTTCCTCAAAAACCAAAAACTCAAAATGTTTTCACAGAAGTGTTTAAAGCTGTGCCTTGTCTACAAAGGTTGTAATGCCCTCTGGTGGCCAATACAAAGATAACATGTTCCAGACTATTTCAGTTTTATAAATGATCTGATTATATTGGGGAATTCATTTCAACAAAAACTGTTGTAGTCTTCTCCAGTGACTCTCAGTTTGAAGATTTATTGGCATGGTGATATTTACAGTTTTTAAAAAAATTGCTAGTGGTTTTAAAATTTTGTCTCGTCCATTGTATTACCTCTTATCATTGCTAGGCATACACACTTTGTTTAACGAACTTTACAGATTTGCAGATTTTTAAGTTCCACCTGGCGGCACACAAGTCCTATAAGCCATGTACATAATATATTCATGTGAAAAATTAACAAAGAAAATGTCAAAATAGCCAAAAAAAGTGATTTTCTTCTGAATCCACTGCTCAAAGTTAGCCTGCATTCAGATTTAATTCACACCTCCCTGATTGTTTACACAGTTTTTTTTTCCTGTTTTTGTCCTTGGTGCTGAGCTCCACCCTCCTTTTACTCCATCCTGTCACCACAAATATTTCTAGGCTCCCTTATGGAAGCAGAATAAGTCATTTTAAGGTAAAGAGATCAGCAGAAGGTCTAGGTACACTGTGTTCCTTATTTCTACAGCACGCTTGTAATGGTTTCCTATTGCCCCTGTAGGAGATTATACCAAATCTAACAGTTTAAACAGGTTTGTTATTTTACCGTCCTGGTGGTCCGAAGTCTGACACAGGTTTCCCTAAGTTAAAAATCAAGGTGTTGTCAGGACTTCTACAGATACGAATTCATTTCTTTAGCCTTTGGAGCTTTCAGAGATCCTCACATTGCCTTTTGATCCCCTTCCTCCATCCTCAAGGTCAGCATCATCCTATCCTGTTGTGTCATTTTCCCCATAGTGACATCTTCCCCAGACCGACTCTTCTAAGGCAGCTTGTGATTACAGTGACCCCACCTGAAGAATCCAGGATTCTGTCTTTATTATGAAGTCAATTGATCTCAATCCTAATTATTTTTTGTGCCTTTTCCCCTTTGTAGCATAGACACAGATTCCAGTGATGAGAATGTGGACTTCACACTGCTTACCACAGATTTGCATTGCAAATATCCCAGTGAGCCACTAATACGTTCCAAAAATTCCAGGATTTCAAAATTTTAACAACAGGCTTGAAAGTCCTCTGTCATACCATGCGACTTGAATTTGATTTCATCAAGACATATTCACCATACAAAAGCTAATTTTACCTTTAAGAGGGAAAAAGGAAGGCATTTCTGGATTTTAAAATCGCATGTAATCAAGTGCAACATGCACAGTAATTCAATAAACAACAGGTGTTCACAATACCTACGGGGAGAGACAGCTGCTGCAGCGTCTCCAGTGAGAGAGGTGTGGAGGACAGCAGCAGCTGAGTGCTGTTGATGCATAGCAGAGAATAATAGGCTCAAATCTATTCACAATTTAAAGCAAAAGGTGAGAGTGAGGCTCTTCTGCGGCATTTAAATAAACATTGGCTTTCTGCAGTTAGAAGGCAGAAAGAGTTGAAAACCAGATGCAGGTCTGATTTGGAAAGGTGGTAGAACTTCAGAGAAAATGAAAATCTCAGCTTTGGCTAAACTTCAGTGCAGAATTCAGGACCCTGACAAGGAAGGATCAAGACTCTACACTGTACAGGTAAATATGCACTCGGGCAACTTGAATCCCCACGTTCACCTGAAGCTTCTGAGCTGAAAAAATGCCTTCCTGTTTGTTGGTGGATATAGGCCCACAAGCCCATAAACCTGAAGAGGTTTCACATGAGATGGGTGCCCTGTAAGATTAAGTTTGTCCTTAACTGGCTGCCGCCCCTCTGTCCCAGCTGGCCGCCAAAACTGTCGTCAAGGCCAATCTCAGCGTAATGAAGTGGGGAGTAGCTGAGTCAGCTCAAGGCAGAAAGCACTTAGGAATCAGGACATGAAGCCTGGGAGTACATCTCGAAAGGATTGGACCAAAGTGAGTGAAGACAGAATGTCATACTGGATGAGGGAGGCCTTGATTTCTAAGGCTCAATATACCACATGTCTTGTATGCAGCAGGAACTGATGGCTTAGCCAGAGTCCTGGAAGACAGGTCACATGCTGCTTAGATGCTGCTTAGATGCCTCTCCTTGAAAGAGCAAAAGAAATGGTACTCACATTTAGTGATACAGAAATGTTAGGACTGCCAGGGCAGACCATGGAGGAATGGATCTAGAGGGCTACAGACGAAGGAGAAGTGCCCAGTAAGGTGAGTTTTAAGTCCAGTAATCCCTTCAGCTGCTTATGTGCCTGGGTAGACCCCCAGCAGGGCACTATTTACCAAGGCAATAAAGAATGAACAGGTGAGAAAGTCACCATCTTCACTGAAAAGCTTGTGGGGCTGTCTTCTGGAGACTGGTACTCTTAGTAGGAAGTGCTGTAGAAGAAAACTAACCAAGAGTACAGCAGATGAAGGAATTCTGGAATGGTAAAGACCTGACAGTAGCACTTAACAGTCAGAAGCATGGCAGTCAGAATTACCATAAGGCAGCAAGGTTGGAATGGCAACCTGGGGGAAGGTGTCTACCATTTGGATCTTGCGAGATTGTCAATCGAACTTATTATTCCTGGAGATGAGACAGCTGTCTCTAAAGAAAGTTGTAATCATTTGTTCAGCTTTTAGGTCTAAGCCTCAAGAAGAGAGAATTTTCTACGAGGAAGTTTTCAACAACACCAGAAAAAGGTACAGGCAATTCATTCCCTCAACAGAACCTATAACTGTTCACATGGGTAATCACAAACTAGAGATGTGAAATGCACAAATCTTTTAAGGGAAATTGGATACAGGGTACAAATAATCTATGATTCCTGAGAACAGTCAGAAATATAACAGGCTCTGTGTTAATATAGGAGAATATAGAGGTCAAAGGACCAATGGTGCATCTCTGCACTAAGTGGTTTCTAAGTGACCTAGCAGCTGAAAGAGTTCTTGTGTTGATTCTTTGACCAGTGACATATATTCTAGTGAAAAAGGCCAAATAAAACTCCCTGAAGCAGAGTACTTCAGGAAAGATACTAAATAAAAATCAATATTGCAAGTGAAGAGTATCACAGAGATTAAAGTCACCCTTACAACCTTTAGCAATATAAAAGTTGTGGTCCCCACTTGTATTCATTCAATTTATCAGTCTGGCTCCTGAAAACTAAGATGGTTCATGGCAAATTGCAGCAGATGTATAGCTGCTGTGCTCGATGTGGTAGTTTTACTAGAGCAGATAATAGCGTCAAGCGCTTAAACGTTGGCTAAATTAGTTCATTGTTTTCAATATCCATCATGAAGTAGGGTCAGGGATATTTCACACCATATGGTATAGGTGACAATGCACATTTCTATTCTTGCCCTAGGGCTATGTTAATTTTCCTTCTGTGTGTCATGATATACTCAGAAGGAACCCAGACCATTTGGATTTTCCAAAGAACATTCCATTATTCAACTCTTGATGAACTTGAAGAAAAAGAAGTGTCATGTATTCTGGAAGGTACATGAATTCCAGAGGTTGAGAGAGAAATCCTACAAAGATTCAAGAGCCTAAAACATGTCAAATATTTAGGTGTCCAGTGAACTGAGGAAAGTTGAGACCTCCAATCTAAAGTAAAGGACAAGACGTTGCAGCTTGCCCTTCCCTACAGGAAAGAAGCACTGCTTTGGGTGGGGCCTGTTCACATTCTCAAAGCAACATAGTCTGTTCTTGGGAACATTGTTCTGATTTCGTTCAATGAATGACATGGAAAGCTTCTAGTTTTGAGTAAGACTCATGACAAGAATGAGTGTCTAGCAGGAGTCGGACTATAACAGCAGGTCACATGTAGGAGAGATGCATACAGTGCAGAAAGAGACAATGTGGGGTCTGTGGAAATCTCCAACTGGAGAACCACAGCCATATCCCTAGGGTCCCAGAGCAAGGCCGTGCCACCTTTCAGAAAGAAAGACATACCACGACACAATAGATCTAGATGTACTATTTAGCCCAAGAAGGCCATGGTAGAACATTTAACGAGAGAATCTCAACTAACTTTGTATCCAGAACTAAAGTTTGGAGGGGCCTGAAAGAAATTCACTCTAAAGTGAAAATGGTACAAATGGTACATTCAAAACTTTCTTATGCCCTTTGCTTGGTATGAACAGGTGGCCCTGAAACCTATTTTACTTATCATTCTCTCTGTATTGCACAGTCATCTTTAGAGTAGTTCTCACGTTTGACCTCTTAGGGGAGCTTTTATCATCAGATAGAGGGAGAAAAATAACTCAGCTTAATTTATTAATGAATTGGCTTGATTTGTGATTCTAAGACCCAACTGGGCTACTTAAAATCGTGGCTGCAACCCAGTTACCTGGGGTTTCTTCCAGCGAGGAAACCAGTGGACGCTGAAAGGATTTATATGTTGGCAGATATCATTGACCATAAGGAGATTAGATTGCTATTACTTGATAGAAGAGGGAAGAATATGTTTGGAATTCAGATGATTCGCTGGTATTCCCCTTGGTATTTCTAGGCCCAGTTGTAATTTTTCCAGTGATAGTGAAAATCTAGCAACTACATAACCAGGCTCACTGATAAAGGCCTGAGACATGAGAGCAGAACTTTGGGCCAAGGGATATCAAGAATGGTAGAGTAGGGAGAAGATGTATCCTTTAAGAATTTAGGACCAGTTGTACAGCAAGAGCATAGAGTTAATCACCCTACCTTCTCTTTGGAAGTTTACACAGAGATTGTGATTGCGCCTATATAGCAAACAATATAAAAAAGCAAGAGGATCTGAACAGCACACGAGGTAACTCCACAGGATATTAATGGTATACTCTTTAGATCCCTTTATCCAGGC